ATCCCTGCTCTACTTCTTTCTCTGACGGATGTGAAGCTGCTAGGAAAACTATAAAAGTGTGTGCGTGTTCAAGGATGGTGTATGATCACTACATATAATTACTTATGTAAATATATTTTCTCAAACTTACTTTTTGTTGACGTGGGTCTATCTGCCAGACTATGTTCCAAGCATTTCCCTATATGTTCATTTAATTATAAACACATTTATAAAATCATGAGCTCTAAAGCCCACTGGGTCCCCAACCTAGCTGTGCTTCAGAACCCCTCAGGGAGACTGTTAACGTGCATATTCTGTGGTCCCGGGTCTGGGGCGGAGCCCAGGAATCAACATGTTGGACACACTCCCTGAGAAATTCTGCCGCACCCACAGGTTTCCGATCTGGGCCAGAGAAGGGACAGGACTTGCCTGAGGCCTCGCGATGTGTTGGAGACCAGGTTGCGACTGAAACCCAGGCCTGAAGCTCGCAGTCTGGCCTTTTCCTTCTACTTGTCAGCTGCCCCCTGAGCTCCCTAAAGGCATGAAGCCAGGGATGCGGATGGCTGTGATGAGCTATGATGCCAGTAGCGGCTGATCCGGTTTACGGTGCTGTGCTAGGCATTTTACATGGCTTTTCTATTTAACTGCAGTAGGGGTAGAAAAGGGGGCATTCTCCACAGCAACATGCTCCCTTGGGACATTTGAGCAGCAGGGGGCCGATTTTAATGTAGCCCTGGAAATGGGAAACCATGACTGAGGTGCAGAGATATGGAGAAGTGAATTTGAAACCACGCCATTGGGGCACTTGCCCGCCAGGCAAGGGTGGTCTGGTAACTCAGAGACAGGGCAGGCTGGCAGGAGGGAGACACACATGTCCGCTCATAAGGTGTGTACCCGCCGCACGTGCACCTGCGTCAGTGTGCCACCTGAGTACCTGTGTGTCTCCACATGCATACCGACGGGTGCTATGTGTGCACACACCCCTCTATGGGTGCACACGCAAAGAGCACCTTTGTGTGTGGGTGTGTGTGCAGAGGAAGACATACTATTGCTGGCTAGGCTCTCCCCAGCATTAGGGAGCTGTCCAGAATGTGTGTGTTGCAGGGTGTGTGTGTGCGTGTGTGCGCACAAGCACAAATGGTTGCAATGCAGGGGGATCCCTGAGACCCTGCAGGCCACTAGAAAGACCACTAGAGAAGCTGGTTTCCTTATTCACGTCCCACCTCCACATTACGTGCACCATCCTCAACCTGCCAGGTGCGAGCCTGCCTAGGGACCTTAGCACTAGCTGTTCCCTCTGCCTGGTCTTTCCTCCCCTAGAAATGCACAAGCCTCACTCCCTCACCTTCTTCACTTCTTCACTCTGATGTGACTTCTCAGTGATGCCTCCTTTGATTACCTTATTCACCTTTGCACACCACTCCCCACCCTGTGCAGTCTGTATATCTCCCACCCCTGCTTTATTTTTCTCTATAGAATTTATTATAGAATAGAATAAGATTATAGATATATAATATAATGAGGTTATAGAAATAGTCTTATTTTTTGGCTCCCGTGCTAGAATGCAAGCAGGGCTTTATCTGTTTCTCTTCATGGCTGTGAACAGTGCCTGGCCCTTAGTTGGTGTGCAATAAACATCAGTTGAGTGAATGAGTTCATACACCGCCTATACTTGTTTTCTTTAAATTGTCTAACTTTTGTTGCTGAAATATCCACTTTTACCTCTCCCTAAGCAGTAATATACCTTTGATGGATTTATTATCTTGCTTTTCTAATACACATGTGAAATTCACATAACTAGTAAGATGTTATTAAGTATCAGGGTACCACTTAAATCCTTTTGCTCCCACTAGAGGTGTGGGGGTACCACACTCTAGGAATCACTGGTCCAGGCCAATCCCTTCTCTGAAACAAACACATGGACAAACTGAATCCCAAGGAGGGTCAGGAACTAGTCCAGCATCTCACCCATATTGTGACAGAACAGACTGGAACTAAATTCCCTGACCTCTAGCCTGCTTTCCTTTTGCAGTTTGAGGGACAAGGGGACGGTTCAGCCTCTCCTCTGGCTGGAGACTCCTTCAGCTGGAGGGGAGCCACACATGCCTGGTAACCGGCGAATGGCATGAGGGGATGGCAGGGTCGGTAGCCTCCTGCCCGCTCAGGACCACAGCACCCTCCTGGCTGCAGGACTGCGTACTGAGTGTTGGGAGCCTCGGCCATACCTTCCCTCCCAGGAGTCTTGGGTCTGGGGCCATCCAAGGGGGCCTGGGTGCTCACATCCAGTAAGAGGCAGACCTGGTATTCAAACCTGGTTCTCTCCTGCTACAGCACAGTTAGCTAGAGGTTGACACTGGGGTTCCCTTGCTGAGAGGATGCTGGAGGGGGAGGGGAAGGTTGGGCTGTGCCTGACTATGAGCAGAAGAGGGAGACCAGCCCCAGAGAGGGCTGGAGAAGGGAGGGAGACAGACATCGCCCTAGCCTGGTACAGTTATACAAAGGTAGGTTTGTGCAAAAGGCTGAAGTTAAATCCCCCTCAGGTGTGCACAATGTTTTATGCTATAGAAATTGTGCATCTCATTTGCTCAGCAGTGACTCTGCAAAGCAGCTATAATCATCCCTGGTTTACTGATGAGGAAGTTGAGACTCAGAGGTGAGGTGACTTACTAAAGGTAGCCCGCACAGGATGCTTTGTTGAGCAGGACGTGGGAAGGGAACAGGCTGCACCTCTGGCTGGATTTGGTAAAGGAGGGCTGTCTGGGGGAGGACAGACAGGCTGAATAGATATGGGAGTAAGAGGCAGGAGTGGAGGGGGTAGACCACTCACTGGCCAAACTACCTTCGCGAATCATAAAACCTTTCTGAGCCTCAGTTTCCTCATCTGTAAAATGGGTATGACAGTACTTCCAGTTCACAGCTTGCAAAGATAAATCAAAACATAATGAAATAATGATAATAATGCCTGGAACATAAGAAGCGCTCAGTAAACAACAACCTGAGTAGTAAAAGTGAAGGGTGCCCAGCCTCTGGCAAGTTTGCCCTCGGAGGTCACCTGCCACAACCGAAAGATTCTCAGCACCTTTCCCAGCACCTTCTTCAGCAGATATGAGTGACCCTGAGAACAAAAGAGGGTTGACAGGCCTGGGGGAGCGGTGAGGGGCTGCGGGCGGCTCGTCTATCCCAGGGCCTGGCAGTGAGGATGCCTCAGGGAGAAGCAGCAGCGTCCCCATCCCCGCCCCAGCCCAGGATGGGGCTCTGCTCTACAGGGTGGGGAGGCGAGCTGGGACTGCAGCGTGCTGGGGCCGTCATTATCATTCCTCCAGCATTTTTTCTCCCCGTTATTTATTTTTCTGTGAGGAAGGAATGTGGGGAATTTACCACAGGGCGCTGGCCTTGCTTTGGGCAGTGCAGCGGCCTCTTCTATGAGAGGGAAGCAGCAGAGACAGATGGCTGGGGAGGTGGAGGCGGAGGAGGGTCCCGGCTGAATCTGTGGCCCCGGTGGGGCAGTTATGTAACCCACCCGGAGGCCCAGGGCAGATACCATGGTGCTTCTGAGCTCTAGGCATGTGCCTTCCCATGTACATAGCTCCCTTGGAACTCTACCTGGACCACCCCAGTCACCCTTAGCCTCTGGGCAAGCCCAGTGGTGGACGTGTTCCTCTGTCAGAGGTGCCTTCCTCTCCAGCTGTCTTGACTGGAGGTGTGAGTGGAGGGGGGTAGAGGATGGGCTGGGGACCACCTTGAGCCTTCCAGCCTCCACTGGGCTGTCCCATTGCTTGACATACTTCCACATCTCCATCTTTCAAGACCTAGGGCATATGCCGCCTCCTCCAGGAAGACTTCCCAGATTTCTTCATCCTCGTTCATCTATCTCTTAAGCTCTATATTCTCCTGGCACTCAATGGAATATTCTGCCTCTTGGATCTAACACTGCCATTTGAGGTTTCATCTCCCTCTTCACCCAAAGGCTTGTTCCTACCTCCCTCCTTCCTCTCTCCCCTTCCTCGAGGAACCACTCTCTAGATCTCTGACCTAGAATCTCCATGACTCTGGGATCTAGACACATCGAGAATTTGTCTCCTGGGGTGAATGGTGGAGTAAAATGTGAAGGTAGATTTGGACTGTGGGAGTGCTCATCCTTCAGTCATTTGTTTAGTCAACACTTAGTGAACCCCTCCTGGGCGACGGCCTCTGCTGAGTCTGGGGAATTTAGAGAGAATGGGACCAACTCCAGCCCCAGGCTGCCCCGGGGCCAAGAGGAAGGGCTGTATCTTTGTCGAGGGCCTTGGGCTGGGTGCTGGGGACCCTGAGATAGACTAGGCTCAGCACTGCTCCTGGCAGAGGCATAGTTTAGGGGAAATTCTCCCTCTTCCGCCCTGGCTCGCCACCTTTACGTCTCCTGGATTAAGTGTTTTCTCTGGAAGGGTAGGGGGTGGTAGTCCTTTCTGTACTCTCAAGGCTCCCAGGGCTGGGATGATGGAGGCTGATGCAGCAGGAGAGGGCTTGGGGGTGGCGGGGAATGCCTGGCTTACCATAGCTGGACTGGGGGAGGTGGGAGCCTGGGTCTGAACTTGGCTCCCTGTGAACCAGCCCTTTCCAGTTTGCTGTGCACCTGGAACTGAACCTGCCTCTCTCTGGGTCACCATTTCCAAGTCCCTGAAAATCTAACTGTAGATTAGTGTTTAGGCTAGTAGAGCAGGCAGGAGGAAGGTGGTGGCTCCTGGCCTTTGGGAGAGGAGGACCGCATAGCAGGGCCCTCGTCAGCCAGCAGTGAGCAGTGCCTGTGGCCTACAGGGATACCTGCTAGCCAACACCCATGCCGACCTGACTTAGCCCACCCACCCTGCCCTGCATCATCCCGAACCCCTGTCAGGGAGATACCAGGAGTTGGGCCAGTCCCAGCCTCCTTCCCCTTGGGCCTTGGTTCCTGAGCTTCCTCAACCTGTTGTTTCCTTCAAGCCCTGCTCCTGCTGCGAGGCCCCTGGGCCAGGTCGAGTAGGGGAGGGGCACTGATCGAGGAGTCTGGATGGATTGATGAAAGCTTCCTGGAGGAGGTGGCAGTTGGGCTGGGCCTGGGACAGTAGGTGGGAAAGTGAATGTGCTTTGTGGGCTGAGCTCTTCAGAAGGAGGGGCCCAGGCTTGGGATCAGTCAGACTCCCGGCTCCAGCTCTGCTCTGCCTGTCCCTTGCTGGCTGTAAGACCTGGGGTGAGTTGGCTAATTCTCTGGGTCTCGTTTTCCTCATCAATAAAACAGAGGTAAGGGGGCCTCCTTTATGAGTTGCTGTGAGGATTCAGTGAGAAAATACATGCTAAACCCTTAGCTTAGCAGCATCTGGAGCTCCTCATGTGTTGGCTGTTGTCAACCTCATTGACTCCATCCTTTCTGCAAGCCCCCGGGGAAGGTGTAGGGGACAAGGCGGAAGCAGTTGAGGCCCCTGTCCCGCGGCTCTGGCACCCTCTGGGGGAAGATAAGACCCAGATCCTGACTGCTGCAAAGCAAGGTGTTGGGAGGAGGCAGCAGGCCCCATGTGATGGGTCCTGGGCTGGGTGCTGGGCCACCCTGGGTTCGAATCCCAGCTCTGCCTCTGCCTAGCTGTACCACCTAAGTCACTTCACCTCTCTGAGCCCGCTTCTCCTCTAACATGGAGATGAGGGGACTGCTGACCTCCTGGCTGCTGTTAATGAAGCCAGGGCCTGGCATGGGGCATGTGGTGAGCACGCCCTGGTGAAAACTCTGACTAAAACAAATAATATGCCAAGTGATGAGGTTATTAAGCGGTGTAGATAAAACACTGATGATCTGGGGATTGAGCGTGTAGAAAGGATAGGAGACAGAGACGGGTTCCGGGTGGAAGGATGTGCGCAAACCCACGGCAGAGGCTGGAACTCGCAGGGCAGGTGTGGCACCACGAGCCGCTGGACTCCCTCTGACGGCTGCTGAGGGCGCAGGGAGCAGGTGAGCGAGCTCTCGGGCAGACCCTGACGTCAGGGACCCTGAATGCCAGGATGAGGACTTGCTGCTTGGTCCCCCATGTCCTGGAGAGGAGGAGAGAGGCCCGACACAGAGTGGAGCCAGGCGGGAGGAAGATGGATCTGGCAGCGTGGGGTGGGTAGATTGTCGGGGGAGAGACTGGGGGCGGAGAGACCATTTAAAAGGCTGTTGCGAAATCGGTTTTCCTGATAAAGAGCTAGGCTGAGTCATCTGTGGAGGAGAGAAGTCATATCCAGCTCCTCCGCGTTGCCGTCAACGTGGGATTTTCCTCTTTGTCAGCTAGTCGATTGGCTGCCTTTCGCGGAGGCTTTGAGAAGCAAGGCCGGCTCAGCATCCGGAGGGAAGCTGGGCTGCAGGGAGGACCCAGCCGGAGTGAGTAAAGCAAGCACCCAGAGGTGCCTTTGTGGTTTGGGGTGTGTGACTTAGGGCATACAGCATCCTCCTCTGGTCTCAGTTCCCCCTGGGCATTAAGGGAGAGGCATGCCATGACTTCTGCCGGCCGGTTGGTGGCCAGGCTGGAGCTAGGTCTGGGGCTCTTCACTTCCATTCCTATGCATCTCCCGTGTCTGGCAGTCCTTCCCACCTTGGTATGAATTATTCTCTGCGAGGAGGCCTGGCAGTCTGCTGGGACTCAGTCAGGTTGCACTCACCAGGACTTTGGCATGGATGGAGAACTCCCCAGGGAAAGGAGGCTGCGTCATTTCCTCCTTTCAGCAGGGAGGATGCGGGGCAGGGGCTGGCAAGGTAGTCAGGCCATTACTCAGGTCCAGTTCATCTTCCTGCCCCCGGCTGAGGCCGAGGCTGTGCAGCAGCCAGCCATTGGTTCCTTCCTGACCCCACCAGGGGGGCAGTTATCCCAGCCTGTTTACCTGTCCCGTTGCCAAGACTCCCAGGCAGCCACAATGGGCCGTCTCCAGCCAGTCTCTCTTCCTACCTCTGGCTCCCTGTCCCACTCCACCCTGCCCGGGCCCTGGGCACTCCCGTTGACGGCAGCCGTGTGAAGAAGAATTTCCTTGAATTCTCTCCCTGTCCTGACCTTCTGCTCTGGCCTCTCCGTTCCCCTGCCCTGCCTCCCTCCTCTGGATCCTCTGTCCAAAAGGCCTGATGGCCGGCAGAACAGGCAGCTGCCTACAGAAGTAATGGGGTGGGAGAAAGGGCTTCTCCCTGCCTGAGCGCAACTTGAACTCAGGTCTCCTGACTCCCCACACCGTGCTCTTTCTACTCCACTAGTCTTTTATGTCCTAGCAGTCATCTCTACCTTAGTCACAATGCGTTTATCAGCTCTTCTCCTGAGAGGAAGAAGGACGACAAAGCATGAGTTGCTCTGGGCAGCTGAATATGAAGAGGAGAGGGCACTGCCGCGGGCACTGATCACGAGATGTGGAAACAGAGGGGTCTTCAGACCAGCATCCAGGAGCACCAGAGTCTCTGTGGGTGCCCCTCCCACCGGAGTCAGGATCCGGAAGGCAGGGTGGTTAAGAAATGAGATTCAGCAAAACCAGATTTTGAGTTTTGAACCCCAGCTCTGCTACTTAAAAGTCATATGACCCTGGGCAGGTCTTTCTGAGCTCTGGTTTCATCTGCAAACTGGGAAGAGTGCTAGTACCTATCTCTTAGGGTCATCGGGAGGATCGAACAAGATGATGGGTCTACAGCGCATGGCACAGCACTTTATACTGGGCAGTAGTGAGGGCTCACTAATTATAGCACCCACTGCGATCTTCATTTGAAGGGCTGTACTCAGGGCTTCCTGTCCCCCTTCCCCACTTAGGGATTTAACCCTGTTGGACCCAGGTCTCCTGACGCTGGGCAGCTCTTCCTTGAGTCTGCCCTCACCCCTCCATCTCCGGAAGGCCGGTCTTCAGAGCTCCTCATCCATTGTCCAGGGTGGGGCTTTCAAGGGCCAGCCCTGAAGAGGCTGAGGGAAGAGGGGGTGTTAGGACTTGTACAGGTGCAGGCTGCAGCCAAGCAGATTGGGGGCTCAGCAAGGGGCCTCTCCCCTGTGGGCCTTGGCCACCTCTTGCCTCTCTGACACCAGGGACCACAATCTTGGACCCACCTGGCTGGGGCATCACTAGAGGTGGCAGTTCCCTAGTCTGGGGAATTTTGAATGGAGCTGCCACCCCCAGTGCCCTGCAGTGGGGGACTCTGGGATGCCTGTAGTTGGCCCAGCCCCCCTTCTCCCAGCTTTGTTTGTGCAGGGTGGCAAAAGTCATCTGGATTGCTGGCTGGGTCTGGTCCAAGCCTCCTGCCAAATTCCTTTTCCGTGGAGTCATTGCAGGCTGGGATGGGGGGCACGGGAGCTCCCTCGGAGGCAGGGCTCTCTCACCCTCTGGCGTTTTCTGCTGGGTTCCTCTTGTCCCAGAACAACAGTGTGGGGAACATTCCCACCCTGGCTGGGGGTCAGCAGACCAGGTCTTGGCCCATGGCCTCCTCTGCAACCCCTTCCCTCTCTAAAGCCTCCCAGGCCAGCTTATCCCTGAGGGCCCTTCACTCTCTGACCCTGGAGCATTTTCTAGCCCCATTGCCCTTAGAACCAGCCTTGGGATAGGACTGAAGCAAAGAGGTGAAGAGAAAAAAGAGAAAAGTGCAGGGATTTGGGAGGTCTGAATTACACAAACACTGAAGCCCTTTCTAGGAGCCTGGCACTGTGGGAACCTGCTAGCCGGGTACACAGTAAGAGCCCAATCAATGTGAGCTACGATGGCTGCAGTTGTGTCATAAGAGCCACTGGTGGGACTAGGGATGTTTATCCTGACCGTGCCCCGTGGGGATGTGATTTGTGACTGAGTCTCTGCAGGGCTGTCAGGTTGGAAAGAGAAAGCTCTTTATCTGTGTGGCAGTGAGGGGCAGAGTCATGTCAAGAGGTGGGAGTTAATATGAGGAGTGACTTTATAGCTAAAGAAAGAATGTTAATTAGCAGAAGGTACATCTTCAGGGTAGTGAGCTCCCTGTCAGTTGAGGGTATAAACAGAGGCTTGTACACGCAGGGACATGGCTTTAGGGACGCAGGAATTGTGTGGGGGATTGGACCCGGTGACAGCCATCTCTGAGATTCTGAGGTTCTGTGATTTGGGGCAATGATCCCTGCCTCCCAATAACTCTAGAATCCCCTGCTCTGTGACCTTCAGACAGTCACCCCTCTCAGGACCATGATCTGTAGGGTGAATCTCCTTTGCTAGAAGAAGCTCTGACCCCTTCCAGGGTGTCACGTGGGGTCACCGTCAACTCCATCCCAGGGTAGCATGAGCCCTCGGTCCTCTCTACTTGGGCTGAATGACAGTAATCCCCCTGGCATCCACGATCTCAGTGCAGCCTCCAAACCCTAATGTCAGTGCTTTTATTTTTATTATTATTATTATTTTTTTTTTTTTTCCGTTCCGCGGGCCTCTCACTGTTGTGGCCTCTCCCGTTGCGGAGCACAGGCTCCGGATGCACAGGCCCAGCGGCCATGGCTCATGGGCCCAGCCGCTCTGCGGCACGTGGGATCTTCCCGGACCGGGACACGAACCCGTGTCCCCTGCATCGGCAGGCGGACTCTCAACCACTGCGCCACCAGGGAAGCCCCTGTCAGTGCTTTTATTACCTTCTTCTCAGCTAAGGAAACTGGCTCCGAGAGATGTAGTAACTTGCCAAGGTCACACAGCTAGCAAATAGCAGAGCCTGGATTTGGGCTGGGAGGCTTGGTTTCTAAGCAGACCAGAGGAGATGGACATCGCATGAGCTGAGCAACTCCTCCTGTGTTGCTGGCTTGTCCCCTACTTAAGTTCCCCACAGGGGAGCAGCCTGGCCCAACCCCCAAAGCCTTCATCATGGGGTGATCCAGGCAGGAGAGGAGCCCTACCAGGAGGAAGCAGGCGTCAGGGGCACATGGGGCAGGCTGTGTGCTGTCACTGTTCTGGACCTGTGGCCACAGGTGTGTGTGGTGGGGAGCCAGGTCGTGAGGGGAGGAGGGAAGGAGGAGGTTGGGGCCAGACAGCCTGTGGCTGCTGGGCCTGGTCCCAGTGAAGCAGCTGTCGGCAGCCACTCTGTCCTGTGTGGGCCTCCCCGCTGACCCTAGTGTGAGCTCTACCCTGCACCACTCTCCGAACCTTGGTTTCTTCATCTATAAAGTGGGGGTGGTAGTGAAACAGCTCCTCTATAGGGGCCCTCCCAGCTCTGAGAGTCCATGAATTCTGAGCCTCGCTGGCAAGATGCCTAGAAAAACTGTCCCTGGAGACCCACTCAGCATGTCATGGCCAGTGCTAATGAGGGCAAGATAGGAGGAAGGGCAGGGTCAGATTCCTCAAGAACTAATTAGCTTCCCTCGGTGGGGGTGGGGTGACAAAGGGAGGAATTTTCCCAGCCACCGACTGAGCTGCTAGCCCGGCCACAGGCTGTCCCATCCATCTGTCCGTAGGTTCATTTGTTCATGCGTCCATTTCTTCATTCCTTATTCAATAAGCACAAATTAAACACTGACTCTGTGCCAGCCGGGCACTGGTGATACAGAAAGAAATGGTTGCCTATAGTGAACTTACAGATTAATAGGGCCTGACCCCCAGCCTGATCCCTGACCTCAGGCCCCAGACTCCGGTCCTAGCCTGCAGCCCCAGCCTGAACCCCGACTCCCACCGACTCTGTCCCCTATATGTCCCAAAGGGACCTTTGGGACAAGCAGGCAGCTTGAGCATGCACTGTGGACCCAGAGAGAACTGGTTCTGACTCCAGCCTTGCCACCCTTTGCTGTGTGATCTTGGGTGAGTTACTTACAAGTCTCTAGACCTCATTTTCCATTTCTGTAAAATAGGGAGCAAGTAATGCTTGTGTCCTAGTGTTCTTGTGAGGATAAAATGAGGTAATGCAATGCTCTAGTAGAGTCACTGCTGAAATTAGCCCAATTTATTACTTTTATAACATTAAAGTATGAGAATTTTTCAATGATTGTTTAAATGAAAATGGTAAGAAATTCTGCAAGGACTTGGAAGAAACTATTAACAGTTGTTACCTGATTTGTGGTGTGGAGCACACAGAGGTAGAGAGACATTTTTTACTGTATACTTTTTTATGTTTTTAAGTTAAAAAAAAATTTTTAGTCCATGTAAATGTATTACCTATTCTAAAAAGAGGAAGTGTTAGTGTTAAGAAATGACTATACTATGAGTTTGAAAGTGTAAAGGGCCCTAAGATATGCACTTAGGCATATGAATATCCTGCAGGTCCATTCATGCCCTCAGTAATGCTTCCTGAGTGCCCACTTTTTGCCAGGCACTATTCTAGGGGCTAGGGTTAGAGGGATGAACAAGTCAAGCAAGTTCAGTTCCCCCTTAGAGCTTGCGTTCTAGGTGAGGGAGACAGGTAATAGACAAGGAAACGTGTAAAAAAGATAATACTGAATTGTGTTGAATGCTATGAAGAAAACAAAACAAAGAGATGGGTTGGGGGGGGTGCTGATTATAGAGGAAGGCCCCTCCAGAGAGGTGACATTCACGTGAGTCCTGAGCGATGAGGAACCAACATGGAATGCCACTTGGGAAAAGATCATTCCAAGCAGACAGAACAGCAAGTGCAAAGGCCCCGGGGCAGGAACAAACTTGGCGTTTTCAAGGAACAGAAAGCCAGCCAGGAAGAGCCCAGTGAGAGAGAAAGGTGGCACAAGATGAGTCCGAGATGGAGTGGGGCCTTGACTGCGAGGGTGAGGTGTTCTTGCTGAGTTTGGTAAAGTGCCATGTCAACAACCTTTAGGGGGAATCCAAACAAGGGGGCAGTTAATACTAAAAGGGTAATCAGGGAAGGTTTTACATGGCTATCTGAGTTGGGCCGTGATGGTTGGGTCAGGGATCTTTATGAGGAGATTCTAGGACACGGTGAGTAAAGATCAAATTCCGGAGGAAAAGGCCATCTGTAGTGGGGCATGGGTGACCATCTGTCTGTCTGTGTGTGTACCCCTGTGGCTCTGCAATCCCATTTGCTGACTCGGCCTCTGTCCCTCCTGCAGCGCTGGGCCGGAGCACTAGCCTCACCGAGAAGGATCTAAAAGAGGCCAAGGCGAGGAGCCAGCAGATCGCAGCCCAGCTGACCACCCCTCCCAGCTCCAACTCCCGCGGCGTCCAGCTCTTCAACAGGCGCCGGCAGAGGGTGAACGAGTTCACCTTGGAGAGCCACGGCCAGAGGGGACAGAAGCCCGGCCAGGAGTCCCTCAGGGTGCCCCCCGCCAGCCCCACAGGCCATGCCCCAGGGCTCAGCCTGAGTCCCACCTCCCTCCCTGAACCAGGCCCTCCGAGAAACCCCGCCTGCCAGAGCGCTGACACAGGGGTCCCTGGTCACAGCATGGAGGGCTCCTCAGAGGAAGCCAACTTGCTGCGGCACCTGGAGAAGGTGGCCAGTGAGGAAGAGGAGGTACCACTGGTGGTTTATTTAAAGGAGAACGCGGCCCTGCTGACGGCCAATGGGCTCCACCTGTCCCAGAACCGAGAAGCCCAGCAGACACCCCCAACTCCACCTCCGGCCGAGGTCCACAGCCCAGCCACAGATGCCAGCCAAAACCCTCCCTCACCCGGCGCCACGCTCATCACGCCAGCTTCCAACAGCAACCACAACCTGCCAGCCACAGATGTCGATCAGAACCCACCGGCAACTGTCCCCCCACAGAGCCTGCCACTGTCCAGCGTCCAACAGAATTCTTCACAGGCACAGCTCCCGCCGAAGGGTGCAGTGCCAGATTTCAAACCCAGCACCCAGTGTGCTGGTGGGCAACCCCAGGAGCCAGCTGTGGAGGTGAGATCCAGCACCCTACTAATTGACAAGGTATCGGCTCCACCTACCACCACCAGCACCTTCTCCAGAGAAGTGACTCCCATCTCCAGCTCCAGGCCCCCAGCCCCAGATTTCATGTCCAGCTCCCTGCTCATTGATATCCAGCTTGGTGCCCCAGTGGCGTCCACAGAACAAGAGATTTCCGGGCGGGCAGCTGCCACCACGCCCACCAAACTGTACAGCGAGGTCCACCTCACGCTGGCCAAGCCCCCATCTGTGGTCAACAGGACGGCCAGGCCCTTTGGGATTCAGGCACCGGGCGGCACGAGCCAGATGGAACGAAGCCCCATGGTAGAGAGACGACATCTTGGAGAGAAGGGTCCCACTCCCCGGCCCCCCAGCGTGGCAGACAGGAGCCCTCGGCCACAGAGACACATCATGTCCCATAGCCCCATGCTGGAGAGGAGGCCCGTGGCACAGCGAAGCCCCGCCTTGGAGAGACGCCCCTTGGGGAACTTCACCCCGCCCCCAACCTATGCCGAGACCTTGTCCACAGCCCCCCTGACTTCCCGGGTTAGGTCTCCCCCCTCTTACTCTGCCCTGTACCCCAGCTGCGACCCCAAGCCTTCTCATCTAAAGGGCCAGGCAGTTCCTGCCAGCAAGACGGGCATTTTGGAGGAGTCGATGGCCCGCAGGGGCAGCCGGAAATCCATGTTCACCTTCGTGGAGAAGCCCAAGGTGACCCCGAATCCGGACCTGCTGGATCTGGTACAGACAGCGGACGAGAAGCGGAGGCAGAGGGACCAGGGGGAGATGGGCGTGGAGGAGGAGCCCTTCGCGCTGGGGGCCGAGGCCTCCAACTTCCAGCAGGAGCCCGCACCCCGGGACAGGGCCAGCCCCGCAGGTGCCGAGGAGATTGTCCCCGAGTGGGCCTCATGCCTCAAGTCACCGCGTATCCAGGCCAAGCCCAAGCCCAAACCCAACCAGAACCTCTCCGAGGCCTCTGGGAAGGGGGCCGAGCTCTACGCCCGCCGCCAGTCCCGCATGGAGAAGTACGTCATCGAGTCTTCGGGCCACGCGGAACGGGCCCGCTGCCCTTCACCCACCATGTCCCTGCCTTCGTGCTGGAAGTACCCCACCCACGCGCCTGGCGGCTTCCGAGTGGCGTCCCGAAGCCCGGCTCGGACCCCGCCTGCCTCCCTCTATCACGGCTACCTGCCTGAGAATGGGGTCCTGCGCCCAGAGCCCTCCAGGCAGCCACCCTGCCAGCTGCGGCCCTCGCTCTTTGTCCTCTCACCCATCAAGGAACCTGCCAAGTCCTCGCCCACAGCCGCCTCGCCTGCCAAGCCGAGCTCCCTGGACCTGGCGCCCAGCCTGCCCAAAGCAGCCCTCCCACCGTCGCCTGCCCTGCCTCGGCCCTCCCGCTCCTCCCCTGGCCAGGATGGCCTCCAGCCCACTGCCGTGAGCCCTACCTACAGCAGTGATGTCTCGCCCGTGTCTCCCTCCAGGGTGTGGTCTCCCCGAGCCAAGCAAGCCCCCAGGCCCTCCTTCTCCACCCGGAATGCCGGGATCGAGGCTCAGGTGTGGAAGCCTTCCTTCTGCTTCAAGTAATGGACCCCACAGGGATCCCACTGCCTGTCAGAGCCCGCTCTCCGAGGGCTGGATGGAGAGCAGGAAGTGGCACAGGGCTGAGTCAGGAGTATGGGGACTCAGGTCTCAAGGGCTGATGCTGCCACCAGCTAGCTTTGTGACATCGGGCAAGTCACCTCCCCTCTCTGAGCTGCAGCCGCCCCTTCCCTACCACAGAGTGGTTCGACTCCATGTCTGAGGGATCTGAAGTCTGCCACTGCGGGGGGAGGAGGGTCACGGAGAGAGAACTCCCTTGGCAGGCCCTAACGAGGCTGGGGGGCTTCACCTGGCCTTGGTGAGCTGTAGGGATGCCAGCGTCTTGCTGAGGGGCTTCTGCAGCATACAGAGCCTGCCCTGGCCTGTGGGACCAGCCAGCCAAGGGTCTGCCTCCTCAGCCACCCCGGTGGGGCCGTCCTCACTGTGGCCCCAGCTCTGGCATCTCTCTGCCTCTTGCTGGATTCTCACCTCCACAGGTCTCTCTTCCACCCACCTCTGCCTTCCGGACACTGTTTCCTCTGCGCTGCTTCAGAGACCTCTGCCTCGGCCTCCACATTTTCTCTTCTCTCGGGTTCTGCTGGATGAGGACTCAGCCCACCATTGCTGTCTGACACTCTTCTTCCTGGCCCTCTGCTCAGCTGCCTTCATGCCCGCTCCAAACATCTAGCTCCGCTTTCGAGACAGCTAACGCAGTTCATCCCAGACCTCAGTCCTGGTTCGACCTAGCTTGCCCTCACCGTTCTGGGATGTGGGAGGTCCCAGGGGACCCCTGAGAGACAGAGAGCCCTGTAGGAGGCTGCGCAGAGGTTGGTGTGCAGCTAGGAGAGAGGCCCCTAGCAGTGTATCCGTCAGCTGTTTTGCCTTCAACCTCAGCCAAGATCTGCACGACTGAAAGCAGCCGTCTACGTGCAGTGGAAGGGGCCGCAAGGAGAGAGGCATCTCAGCCTGCCGTTTGCTGTGCGACTTTGGCCAAGTCACTTTCCCTCTTTGTGCCTCAGTTTTCTCATTTATACGATGAGGGCCCTCCTAGCTGGACAATCTGTGAGGAATGAGAGGACAGGCTGGTGCTTTGGGAGAAAGGCCCTGTAAGTGATAAGACAGTCCCCCGGGAAGAGAGGGGAAGGAAATGGGACAGTTGCCATAGGACAGATGGTGAGTAGATGTAAGGGTGTCCTTGGGAGGGTGTGGCTGGAATGAGCTGCAGCAGGAGGCCAGGAGATCAGAAATTTAGGCTGGGACTGCTCAGGCTCAGGATCGCCTGGAGACAGTGGGAACACGGCAAGGGTTGGGGCAGGAGCACAGCAGCTCAAGGAAGGGACAAAGGAGACCTTAAGGTTTAGAAGAAAAGGCTGGGACTTAGGAGATCTGGATTCTCAAAGATGGACTCCACGTGCAGCTTTGGGTCTCAGTTTCCCCATCATACTGTGAGGGTTTTGAGTCAGGTAGTCTGAGATCCTCACCACCTCTGACACCTTTGATGTGCTGCAGCCCCACAAAACCACACTTTGTGTGGGTTAGAGAACATAGACGCAAGAGGCAGAATTCAGATGGAAGCTTCCCAAGACCGGGGGCGAGCACCACCCACTTTCTCTTTCCCAGCCCTATTTCTGGGCTCCCCAGAGGGGCGAGGGGTGGTGGAGGCGGTGCCCATGCCGGGCTGAGCCTGCAGTTTTCGCGAGCTCTCAGGCTCGTCTCCATGGCAACAGGGGGTGCCTTCCCAGTGAGTTCATTCTGCCCAGAACGTGGGGGCATGCATGGGAGAGTCGCGAGGGAGCTCGGCTCCTTCACGCCAAACCCCTCCCAGGGCAGAGTGAAGCCCATGTTCCGGACCCCTGCTCCCTTCCACCCCTGAGGGCCAGCAATGGAAGAGCCCACCCTCCATCCTGCAGCTCCTGTGATCAGGCTGGCTGAGCTCTTCCCTCAGCTTTGTTTTCTCTCCTATTCTCAATATACTCTGCCTCAAATCTGTCTTGCTTCTTTCTTTCTTCCACACTCACTGGCTGGTGGTCAGGGCCCTCTCCCTCCTCCCCAATTCTGGCCTGAGAAGTGGGGTGGGACTGCTTAGTTACGGCGTGTGAGCCTGTGGTGTGTGTCCACGTGCTGCGTGCATCTGCTGAGTGTCTGGATCTGCCATGGGTACAGATGTGTGCTGGCTTGAAAGTGAGGGCTGCCCTCTCTCTTCCCTGGGTCAGCACTGAGGGAACCAGAACCCTGTGGAAATCATGTTCTGTTTTCTCCTTCCTTAAGAGTTTGGCCAAAAAGCCTGTAGAGCACGGGGGAAAACCCGTGCCCCTTATGGTCCAGGTTTGTTCGAATTCTTTAAAAGTGGTATTTAAGTGCCTTTAGCCAGAGCATATATACTTTCTGGTTCCCTCAGCAGCCGCCCCCCCCCCACTCCCCGTCGCCCCCATTATCTAAATCCGGCCACTTTCCACAGTCATCACTGCCGGGCTCTTGCATAAAATGAGTTTCTGCCCTCGTGGAGAGGAGCGTACGGCCATCAAGAGCCAGAAAAATGGGTGCTGGGCCCAGATCTGCATCTGACTCCTCGTGTGACCTTAGACAACCTGTGGGCCTCAGTCTCCCCTTCCATGCAACAAGAGGATTACAGAAGCTGTCTGGGAGCTAGCTCTCTTTGATCTCTGATAGTTCCTGTCTGACTCTGCCCTACTCGCACCTTCACCCCACACATGTGTCCTGCTTTGTGTCTGGTGCTGGGTTAAGTGGGTGCTCCTCTCTGAATTTTCACCCATGTGCATTTCCAAGGAGTTCTGGTGTATATGGTACATTGAGAACTTTTTCACAAGTGAATAATTCTGATTCCCTGCAGCCTTTTTGTATTATTCACTTCACTGCTCCCCCGCCCCCCAACACACACACACACACACACACACACACACACACACGCACACAGTCAGTACCCAGACATGGCAGTTTCGATGAGGTCAGGCCCTGGCCCACCTCCAAAGGGTGAGGAGCTGCTTACCACTGCCCCCAACATTCCAACCCAGGCATTCTGAGAAGTAAATTCTGTTACTTGCTGGCCCTAGCCTTCCCCTTGTGGCCACTAAAGGCAGACCATCCTTGGGGATTTCAGACAGTTATCATAGCTTCTCTTGCCCCAGCCTGCTTTGCTCTTGGCTGAAAGCCCTGGTTGCTCTGCCTCAGTGCTTGTTGATGGACTTGGATCATGAACCCTTGGCCCTGCTCCCCCCAGCCAGGCTCACTGAAAGATTCCTGAGATGGCTCACAGACAGCAGCTCCCAGTGTCTCTTGCTCACATATACACAACTCTGACCCTGGAAGTAAAAGAGGTGGAGCCCATGCTGAGCTTTAACTTTCCTACTTGATGATTGGGGCCTTGGATGTCCCCGGGAGGTTCCTAACATTCCCAATCCCATTGAAAAATCTGTTCAGACTGCTATACGTTCCTCTATAGGTTAAAGGGCTCCATTTCTGAGTCTGGGCTCATCTGGTAGCTGCTGCATTGTTTGGACAATACATGTACTTTACTGCTTCCTTTTGATTGGGAGAAATTAGATTCTCATTGGATGAGAAGCTGACTGGCTTGGCTGCGGCTGGTTACTGATTGGATGAGAGAATGGATCTCACGAGAGGTTCTAGATTTTGATTGAGTAGGAGGCACTGAATGGACTGGCTAGTTCTGGACTCTGAGGGATGACTGCTGGTGAATTTGGATTGAAGACTGAGTGGGCTGGCTTGTTGCTGGAATCTGATTGGCTGAACAGCTGGATGGTTTAGCAGATACATGCTGGGTCTGGATCCCCAAGCCCTGTACTTTCAAACCAGTTCAAACTGCTTAAGCCTGCCTCCCACCTTTAAGCAACAGATAGTCACACACATTTCCTGGTGGGGCAGAACACACCAGATAGTTATTTACACGTCTGAACTTCATTTTCATCACTGTAAGATGGGTGTGATAACATCAGCTACTTCACCAGACTGCTGTGAGGATATGATGAGAGAGTAAGGATGAGAACGAACTTTGTAGACTGGAAAGTCCCTAAGGAGGTAGGAAGCAGGTATGATAGTGTATAGCAGAGCAGTGTATAACTTCACAGAGGTTCACCAACTTGGCCTCACGGAACCCACACTCCCCACCCCACGCGGGCAAGAAGTCCAGTGAGGGGAGTGTGCTGCCTAGGGAGGAACGACCCAACTTCCTTTTATGTTTCCATCTGTCAGTGGGAACCTCCTCCCTGTTCAAGGTGTCCAAGGAACAATTAGGAGGTGACCATGGCAACATGGCAGGGGGATTGAGACAGAGAGGGCCTTTCCGTAAGTCCAACTTTAGTAATAATGATCAATATTTTTGCTTGTAATTTTTTGAATAGATATTATATCCATATGGTTCAAAACCTTAAACTTGTATAAAAAGTATATAATACATTAGAAGCCTTATTCCCACTCCTGTGGCTGTGTCCCCTGCCCTGTTCACCCCATTTCCTAACACAGAGGCACTCTGGTTAGTTTCATGTGTATCATTCTAGTATGTCTTTAAGGTAACTAACATCTATTGCGCACCTACTCTCTTCTAGGGAACCTTCTCATACTGTGATAGTCTTTGATGTAAGTTATCTCATTTACTCCTCACAACAATCCTATAGGATACATGCTGATATTATACTCCCATTTCACAGAGGAGGAAACTGCAGCCCAGGGGCTTCGAGTTGCTTCTTTTGCTGAAGCAACTTGCCCAAGTTCATTCGGTAAACAAAGGGGTCTCTCTCCAAGGCGAGCGTTCTTAAACCGCCAGTCATCTGCCTCCCTGCTAAGCGCAGGGGCAGGCAGCGTGGGCTCGTTCAAGCACCTGAAAGATGAAAGTTGGGGCACCTGCGTTTTTCTGCAGGCACTACCTGACTTTGGTCGCTGGCTTCCCGACTCTGTACAATGGACACAGCCAACTCGGTCCCTTCTGAAACCCCGGTATAGAGAAGCCCAGCACTAACGCCTGCCCCCACCCTCTCTGTTCTCTCCCCAGGACCGCCGAGAGAGCCTGCCCACCTCCCTGCCCTGGACGCCGGGCGCGTCCCGGCCCCCCAGCAGCCTGGACGGCTGGGTGAGCCCGGGGCCGTGGGAGCCGGGCCGCGGGAGCAGCTTGAGCAGCCCCCCGCCGCTGCCGCCGCCGCCGCCGCCGCCGCTACCGCCGCCGCCGCCCATGTCCCCCTCGTGGAGCGAGCGCTCCGTATCCCCTCTGCGACCTGAGACCGAGGCGCGGCCCCCAAGCCGCCAGCTGCAGGCACTCCTGGCGCGAAACATCATCAACGCGGCCCGGCGCAAGAGCGCCTCCCCGCGGCCGGCGGGCGCTGAGAGCCTTCGGCCCTTCTCCCCGCCGAGAGCGCTGCCACCGCCGCCACCGCCGCCGCCGCGCATGCGCTCTCCCCTGCCGTCCCGACCCGGCCAGGCCGCGGACCCCGGGACAACGTTCGCTCCCATCCCCCGGAGCCCACTGCCCGCCAGGCCCTCGCCCTGCGCTAGTCCCCGGAGCCCGCTGCCCGCGCGACCCAGGCCCTTCCCCTACCGCCGCTCGCCCACGGACTCCGATGTGTCCCTCGACTCCGAGGACTCTGGGGCTAAGTCGCCCGGCATCCTCGGCTACAACATCTGTCCCCGCGGATGGAACGGCAGCCTGAGGCTCAAGCGTGGCAACCTATCCACGGAGGCCTCCTGCACCACCTAAAGGCTTCCCCGCCCACACCCCATCCCTGCCCCGGGAGAGCCGAGCCAGAAGAAGTGTCGTGGGGCTTGGGAGCTCCCAGCACCATGTCCCCAAGGGTCTGGCCTCTTTGATAGCCCCAGAGATAAGGGGTCAGGGGAGGAGAGCTCTGGGCTTGGGGGTGGGGTGGTGATCCAAGCTTGGGTTCTAGCCCTTGCTCTGTCATTCAGTCATTGTGGGAAAGACCCTTCCTCTGCTCCTCAGCTTTCCCATCTGTTTAATAGAGCTTTGGCCAAGGCAATCTCCAAACTTCTAAATTACCCCTTCTATCAGTACACACACACTAGTGCCTTGGAAGAGGCAGGGTGTTGTATGTATGGACCCCTAGACTTGCTGCATTGCAGGGTTCCATACTCTCCGCCCGCCCCCCCCCCCCCCCCTGCCCCCGATCTCTGGAGTCTGGTAAATGAGGGGTGTGTTCAGAGGATCCTACGCCTGAGTTCCTTGTCCAGGCCCTGGCTTGACCATCTGCCTCCCTGGCACCAAGTCCCAGGCAGGAGCAGCTGTTTTCCATCCCTTCCCAGACAAGCTCTATTTTTACCATGGTGACCTTTAGAGAGGGTCTCCCAGGCCAGCTCAAGGTGCCCTGCTGGCTTCTCTGGAGAGAAGAGGAGGGAAGATTCCTCCTCTCAGATCCCTCTCAGGCTTTTTTCTCCATCCCAATCCAGGCTTCCCAGGGTCTCCAGAAATGATGCTATAGGTGTCTCCAACCCATCTATCCCTTCCGGGCCCTTTCATGGCAGGCTCTGGGCTCAAAGCTGAGCTGGGCAGAGAAGAGTTGATACGGAGCTATCTGTTATCCTCTGGCTTTACCTGGTAGCCTTGAGTTTGAGGTTGCCCATTTGGAAAGAGGGAGGCAAAGAGTTCTTTGTTATGGGTGGTATGCAAGCAGTGGCCAGGATGCACAGAGGAGATTCTAGTAGGGAATGGACTGGCTCAGATGACCTCTGGGGGCTCTTCCAGTCCTGAAATGCATTCCACAGTATTAGGAAGGGAGGGAGAGTAGTGCTGGAGGATTGGCTAGGGAGATGAGCTTGGGTGGGTGAGTGAGGGGTTAGACCAGAGTCTGCCTGTGTTTCTGGTTCCTTAGGAAGTACTCCACTCTTCAGTTTCAGGCCCCAGCATCCATACTGTGCCCAGATGATGGGGCCCTGTTCTGCCTCATCTCTTTCCCATCACACTCTGGCCTAGCCAGTGTCTGGTGCCCAGTGACCTTGGGGAGCCTGGCTGCAGGCCCTAGCCTGTCCCTTAGGCTATAGTGACTCTGATTCCAATCCCCAGGAGGGACACAGGGAGGAATGTACCTCGGTCCTATAGTTTCCAGAGTTGGCTGGTGGTGCCCTCTAGAGGTTCAGAATATCAGTTTCAGGAAACTAAGTGTGTGGGGGGGGGGGGGGGGGGGGGGCTGGAATTGGCTGAGGATCAAAGGTATGTATGTAAGTGAAAGGATACCAGGATGTTGCTAAAGATGAGGGACAGAGGGTGATTTGGGGGTTAGGAGGAGACTTAGCCATCCCTCAGGGTGATTTAGACCAGGAACCCCTAATTGAGGCTAGGGCAAGCTGGGGTTAGGATGGGAGTCAGGGTGAGGGTGGGGTGCTTTGGAATAAAGGACAGATCCCAAAGGATTCCCAGGGCCTAAAGATTGGGAACATAGGCCCTGTTGGTAGGAAGATGAGAGGGTGCTCCAACTTGTCAGTGATGAGTGATCACATTACTGAAGTCCCCACCTGCTTCAGGGACCCCTGTAGCATGGGAGCCTGGGGCTAAGGGCCTCTTTCAGAGAAAAGACACTATCAGGCCACTAGTTGATGCAGTGGCAGAGAAAATCCACTTCTACCTGCATTTCCCACAAAGAGCCAGCAGGAGGCAGCCTTGGGAAGCTGCAGTTCTGGCTGGCTGTTCTCTCCCTGTAACTGCTTTCTCCCCCAGTCCTCTCCTCTAACCCACTAGAAATTGCCTGTGTCATGCCTTTTGCCTCCTGTAGAATTCAGCTCTGGCCCTCAATAAATGCTTCCTGCATCTTTCTGTCTCCTGTGTCATTTTCAGCTGTGTCTAAAGCCCTTCCCTTTTCCCCACCCATGGAACAGTCCATAGGATGCTGGGTGGATGAGAATGTTTGATACACATGGGATGGGAGCTTGGGAAGTAACAATCATGAACAGAGATGGGGAACAATGAAAACACTCTGGGCCATAGAAGTCCCTGGGTTGAAGTTCTGGTCCTATCATCTACTAGCTGGGTGACCCTGGGTACACCCACTCCTTCTCCAGGCCTCAGCTTCCCTATCTGTGTAATGAGTGAGTTGGTGAGGTGATGTCTCAAGGTGGTATTGCCCAGGCCCTGACCCCAGGACACTGTCACTGGAGTGGCCAGGGCCAAGCTGCATCAGGGCCCAGTGCTCTGGGGCTGCTTCCTGATGGCAGGTCAGGGCTTCAGACAGGAGGAGGAGCCCCTACAAGAGGTAACATCAGAGTCCAGCCAACCCTAGAGAACTCAGGATCCAGACCATCAGGAGTGCTCCTCTCCTGATGGAGGCGTCCTTTGCCCAGAGAAGGGGATTGGGGCCCCACTCCCAGGTGAGGCCAAGATCCCTCACCTTCCTATCTAAAAGCTCAGGCCCTGCAGAGGCTGGGCAAAGGACTCTGACGGGCAGGAAGCTGAGTTCAGGTGGTCCACAGCAGAGTCCAGGCTTCTTCTTAAGAGATATGCCCTTGGACAGTCTATCCAGCACACAGGTACAGGAGCTCCCTGCCCTGGACCCGGCACATCCCTGCTGGTCCCACCCTTCCCTGGTAGTGGTTAGAGCACCCCTGACTCTATCTTCAGCAGGAACCTCTCCTGAGCACAGTATCCCCCTGCCTACTGGTGATCCTGGTGCCCAGACACACCAAACCAATTTCACCCCAAACTGAACTCAGTCTCAGCTGCCCCCACCCCCCTACTCCTCACCATTATTTTCCTTGAATGATGCAATCCAGAAACGGGAGCGGCCCTTTCCTCACCTCCCACATCCAGTCTCTAACTGGGACCTGGTGATCCCTCAAATACCCCTCAAGCCCCTCTCCTCCTCTCCATGCCCTCTGTCACCTCCCTGGTCCAGCCACTCCCAGGTCTCACCTGACCACAGTGAAATCCTCCTGCCTGAAGACTAACTCCCGCCAACCCACTTTCCACAGGGCAGCCAGAGATATCTTTGGAAAATGACCACGTGACTGCTCCGTTCCACCGCCTTAAACTCCAACAGCCCTTTTATAAGATACACTGTACTTTTGAAAAGCCTGCTGTGATCTGGCCCTTGCCCACCTGTCTGGCCTCATCTCTCAGCACCACCCCAGCCCCCAGTTCTAGCTCTCCTCGCTGGCCCCTCACATCCTATGTGTGACATGGCCTCAGCCTGCAGTGCCCGTGCCCCTCTCTGCCTGTGAGCTCCCACTCAGACTTCAAGGCCCAGCGCAAATGTCTCCTCCTCTGGGAGGCCTTCCCCACCCCCAGGCCGAGCTGGTGGCACCCTTCCCTGGCCCTCCCAGATCATTTTCCGTGATGCGGCGCAAAGGCTGTTTACAGGTCTGACACAGGCCTGGCTGAGCTCCTTGAGGACAGAGCCCTGCCTTATTTATTTTCAGTCCATAGAGAGAGGCTCAGAGAATGTGAGAAGGTGGAGGGAGGGAGGGAGGGAAGGAAGAAGGGAGGAAGGAAGGAAGCAGAGGAAGAAAGGAAAGGAGGAATGAACAAGTCAAGCAAAGTTACTGGGGGACAATTCATTCATTCATCAATCTACCCATTCAATCATTCATTCAACAAATATCTACTGAGTTCCTACCAGGCCCCGATCTAGGCCCTAAGGACAATTCGCAAGCTCAGGGCACCGGTGACTCACTCAGTGTTTCCAGGTGACTTTGGTGTGTGCATATGTATGTGTACTGTACGTGTGCAAGGCCTTCTGTTTGCAAGGGCCTGCTGCCGGGGCACCTGTCTTCCCTGGGGCCTGGTGCTTTTAGCATCTGTCCCTGGATCCTGTTGCAGCCCGAAATAAGGCTATGAGCCACGACAAGGCAAGGACAACTCTCGTCTGCTGAGGCCAGAGCTGGAGGCAAGGCATACCCAGCTCACTGATGACCGCCTGCACAGACACCGACCACTCAACTCTCAGCTTCCCAACAGAGGTGTTAATCTGAGGGTCTGACACTCCCTCCTGCCCACTGTGGTTCCATCTCTCAGGTACCAGGACTCAAGGGGAGCTCGAGGCGCTGTGGGGGGTGGGCAGTGGGGGGGAGCCAATTCCCAGAGCCCCTTCCCCCAAGCAGAGGAAGGGCCCAAGGGGGTCCGGGGAGGGTGGGGCCTCGTGGAAGCCTGGATCCTGAGTTGGGAAGGGAGGGATTCTAAGCTCTGGGTTACTCTGGGTTAAATGGAGAGGGTGTAGCTAGGGTTCAAGGTTGGGGTAGGTAATGGCTCTGCTCAGGACTCCAAGATCTTTCAGCAGTAGAGGGAAGCAGGGTCCCTGTCTGTAAAATGAGGGGCGGGGTCCTTCCCAATGTCTGTGAATTTCTGTAAGGAGAGTGTTTGTCAAGAAACAGATCCGGGGACTGTGGAACCCTAAGCGGTCCCATCTGGAGCACCGGCCACAAGCTCGTGGGCATCGCCCCCAAGGAATGCATGTGTACTCATGTTTGCACACAGTTTGAGGGGGTCCGTGTATGCCTTGAAGCACATCCATGGATACCCACGATGTAGCCCATTCTCCTCAGGTTACAGGAGAGCTACTTGCTCAGTTACCGAGGGAGTCAGGGACACCGATTAGAATCCAGGCCGTCCAGCTCAGCGCCCACGGACCCGGGGCTGGGTATGGGTGTGGGGGGCACAGATGGAGGCAGATTGTTTTTCTAAAAGAAGAAATATAGAAAAACCTGGAAGCCAAGCAGAAGGGCACAAGGGTTGGTAAGGCCGTCAGGAGGCTCAAGGACTTTGCCTTCTCTCCTGGGGGCGAGTTAGGGGATCTGGACTTGGGGCCTGCAGGGCTACTCTGGGGCTTTGGACCTCATTTTATTTGTAAATCACCTCCAAGATTCCTGGGACATGCCATAAGATGCAAATGGGGGGATGGAGGAAGAGGGAGAGAAGGAGCGAGGGAGAAAAGGACACCATGTTAAGTGAGCTGAAGGACGGGGGTAGGAAGGGGGCTGATGGTTGTTTTCAGTGTCCTTGGACCAGCCTGCGCCCTCAAGCCTCAGAGCCGAGTCCTGAGGAGAGGAGGGGTGCACCTCGCAGACCCCAGTGCAGCTTCAGCCTAACCACCCGTGCTCCTCTCCCCAACTTCAACCTCCAACCTCTTTCAGCCTCTGATTAGCACTCACTTGAGTCAGTGGACAACAACAGTCAGAGACCCTCGCCTCCCCTTCTCCTAATGTCCCAGAAACTACCCCCAATGCGTGTGTGCTTCCCTAGCATCAAGGAAGCAGATTTGTGTGACCCTGAGCATCTCCTTTTTCTTCCATGGACCTCAGCCTCCTCTTTCCAGCTCAGACACCCTTGCTTGAGACTTCGGTGTGGGCCAAGGCTGCGCAGGGCCGGGGTTGGGTAGACCAAGGATTGGGAGGTCTGGGGAGGAACGGAGGCAGCCTGGACCATTTGTGGCAGTCTCTCCTCCACAGGATGATTCCCAAGGAGCAGAAGGGGCCGGTAATGACTACCATGGGGGACCTCACTGAACCAGGTAAGGTTGACCCAGCCCGTGAGCATTCCTCAGATCCCATGCTTTCTTGCTCCCAGGCTGCAGTCACTCAGGCCTGCTGGCCCCAGGCCTGGGCAAACAGGTGTGAGTTCGAGGCCGGCCTGTGGAATCTGCCGCCTGGGCTGGGAAGCTTCCCGAAGCAATGGGAAGGGCCTTGCTGTGATGCCCGCACCCCCAAGAGCTGAGGTTGAGTGCCCTAGACTGGGTCCTGCCCCCACCTAAGTCCCTACCTCAGCCCCAAATGGAGCTCTGAGGGCTCTGGCCCCAGATTCAATCCTAATAATGGCCCAAGCGTCCCACAGATTGCCCCTGCTTGTTTTAACTGGGCCGTCTCCCCGAGCCCCCATGGCAAGAGACAAGGGGTCAGGGGAGAGCGGGGCAGGGGGGCAGGAATAGGCTGCCTGATCTCAAACCATTTCACTTAAAAGCACATTCATCCAATGCATAAATCATCTAAAATACATGATTATCAACTTTACAAGACCTCTTGGCATAATTTTGGAGTCTGTTGATTTGGCCTACTTTAGAGCATTTCAAATATTTTAAAAACAAACTTAGCTAAGTCAGGACTCTCAAACTTCACTGTGAATCACAGTGACATGGCGTTGTTGGTTAAAAATACAGATTCCCAGCATCAACCCACAGGAATTCTGTTTCAGGGGACCTGGGGAGGAGGCCATACATTACCCTTTTAGCCAAGTACCCAGGTGATTCTGATGCAGGTGGGAAGTGAACCAAGCTCTGATAAACCCCTGTCTAAGGGCATTGCTGCACTTTTAACTCCTTCAGCGTTCTAGGAAGTATTTAATCATGTGTATGACTTTATGTGTGAGTCGTACTTTTAACTTGTTTTATATGTTCTTGCCTCCTTTTGTTGGTGTCATTTTTTTTTTATTCCATGATTTTCTGTGAAATACACAAGCTTTGTGAGGTACCGATGCGCTAACTAGAAGAATCAGGCAATGCATTTCCTTTTCTCTCGTCTAAGTAATTAATTAGTTACAGACCCCCAAATATTGACACACAACATTTACGCCAGACTGGAAATACGTGAATTGTTGACGATTGCTAAGGTATTAATTAAGGACAATTTTGAAGCTAAAGAAAAGTAGAAAGGAAAAAATCTCATGGTGTCACCGCCGAAAGATAGCCATCGTAAAATAATAATAATAAAACACTTACCGTTATTGTGTGCTCACTATGTCTCAGATACTGTGCTAAGAGCATTTGTACCTTTCGTTATATATGTAACCCTCACAGCAACTCTGTAAGTTAGATACGATCACACCCATCTTGCAGATGAGAAAACAGGGGTCAGAGAAGCTAGGAAGTCACATATATAGTAGGTGGTAGAACTGAGATTTGACCCCAGATCTGTCTCCAAAATTGCTCCTTTACCACATGGTTATATAAATAAAACATTCATTTTATAGAATATTCAGACAAAGCAGACATGAATGACTTTGAATGTGAAAGTTCCTCATAAAAAAACCATCTGGAGAGAACCACTGTTAACGGTTTTGTGTAAATCCTTCTTCTGTTCATATATAAACATGTTTATATAAACACACACACACGGGCTAAATACTATACACTGTGTTCGTCATCTTAAATTTTTTTCACTTAGCGGCACACCACAGACTTCTTTCCATCCTAGTATGACTTATCTCACCTCTCCCCTCCCCTCGCTCCCCCAGCATATAAGATATTATATATATTTATACACGCACATCCCCTAAGGGAGGCCATGAAGGCTCAGCCCAGGTTGGGACCCTTAGGAGTAGAGCCTGAGGATTCCCAAACAAGTGACTTGTTGAGCTCCCACTCCTAGGAGAAGGGAAGTGACAAAAGCACAATCCGGCAGAGGAAATTGCTAAGTAAGGATGTGGGCTCCAAAGCATAAATTAATTGCCCTACAGAATTCATCTCATCTTCAGCAAGGGGGCTGTTGCAGCCTCTACTCACCGGGGCAGTTCTCTGTTGAGGTGGCAGTTGTGAGCTGTTAGTCACTGATAAAGGGCATCTGGGCAGCATGCACCGCAAGATTGATTCCCAGTTTTCACAATTCAAAAGGTCACTGCAGTAAACATCCTTGTATGTATATCTTCAGGCATGTTTATTCAACTTTTCTGCCCGAGGACGAACGCCTAGAAGTGGAATTGCTTAGTCAAATAGGTTTTATCTATAGCTTTTTTTTTTTTTTTTTTTTTTTT